TAGGGCATGAACAGGGAAAAGGGGGCACAAAGACATACTTTTCTTTCTTATTCTCATTTAAAATGTCAGCTTTTAATAAATAATTATCTGAATCTTACACCCAAAGTTTTAATCTGATGTAAAATGTATAGAAGTCCATTACTGTATATAGTAACTGTTAAGTCTAATATACCCTAGTAAGCTATAGTACTTTTTCCTTTGGGAAGGTACCATCTGTGCAGTCTGCAGTTCTGTTGAAGAAAGATGTTGAATCTATTTAATTATTCTTGAAAAATAATTGATTTCTGTGCATTTTTTTCACACTGCATCAAATTAAAGTTGATTACGTCGATTAAGCATCATGAGGTGGAGGTAGGGGTGGTTCCCTATTTTTTATTTTTTTTGCTGGGAGTTTTGCATATTAGTTAGGTTGCTTAATATTTCTGCTAAGTACTCTTTAAAATACCAGAAGCAAATCCAGCATGTCCAAATTAACACTGTCGGATTTGATTTCAACACTATTAAAGTGTCTATATGGGTCCACACCAGAGAGTGTTAATTTAACTCTTTTTGGAGAGTTGGTACGTTAACTCTGATTTAGTGTTAAACACCAAATCTGTCTGGAGTTGATAATTTAACACTTGGTGTTAAGAGTTTATATATTAACTCTCAAAGAGTATTTTAGTTTAACTACGTAAGAGTTATCTTCTAATTCATTCTAAAAAGCGGGAATTTTACTGTTCTGAACTTCTAGAAATTTCTTTTGGAAATAAACATTTACTAAAAAGATGCAATGGTTTTTGAAAAACATTTATTCTGAACTGTGCACCACAATTTCAAAACATTTTCTGAAAGATGTAACAGTATACATGTTCTCACTTTCATTAGAATTTTGTTTATCAAAAGGTCTGACATGGTAAATGCAAATAACAGCATTCTCATCACTTATTTCTTCAATACAATATGCATGTCCTTCATTCATCCCTTTGTGGAACTTCAACGCACTTCTGCTCTCCCCCATATTCCATCTTCACAAGCATATCCTGTGCGGAGATTGAATAAAAATTAGTTGACACTAATTAATGGCACAAATAATCCAGTAAACAATTGCAGCACAGTAAAAAAAAAAGGAATCCTCTTTGAGCCATTACTTGTGTAAAGTATTTTCCCAAAAGACAAGGACACAGGCAACAGGTAATACTGAACTAAATGTAAAACCTCAACCTTTTTCATTTTTACCTAAACCGTGTGCACAAAACTCTGGAGGGATCTATGCTAACGTAGAATCCAGTCAGGACGTCAGCTACTGCTGTTTGCTCGTTTTTTTTTATGGGCGATCGTTTTCAGGCTTCAAGTAGCACCATTATACCAACATTTCACATTCTAGACATTGTTTTAGGTGTATTTGACCAAAGTTTGACTGAAAATTCACATGCAAGCTTTTTTTCAAGGCTGTGGTATTTGCCCGCAAACAATACCTTTCAGCTAGCTAAAACAGAATATTATGCTATCAGCGAGCAACATGGCTAATGCCTTTCACACAGCTTTGTCTCAACTCCAAAGAGCCACAGAAGTAAAAGCTCATAATAATAATTGAAACAATCTTTGAAAAAATGACTTACCAAGCATGGCAAACAACTCAAATATGTAGAGCAAAATGTTCTGAAACGGCTTCACTTCAGCTTCGATTGGAGCCGTGCTGGGGGCGGAGTCTGTGAATTTACTCTGTTGGTGTCATAGCCCCTGTAGGAGTTCAGAGTTAAGAGGTCAAGAGTTAATGTTTCCATTGTAACACCTCCAGATTTGACAGAGAAACACTCATTTTTAACACTCGATTTTAACTACTATCATTTTACACCTCAGAGTTACATTAAAAGAATGTGACTCTGCTTAGAGTAAAATTAACTCTACTTTTGCAAGAAGACTATTAACACCAAAACATTTAACACTTTTGAATTTGCTGTGATAGGGAGGAAGGAGCAGGTTTAAGTTTATTAGATTGATCAGTTTTGCTAAACTATGAAATATTTTGGGTGCAGTGTATTTTTTGCATACAGGTATAACAGAATAGCTTTAGTGTTGTTGTTGTTGTTTTTTTAACTTGAGTATTAACTTATACAAACAGCAGTAAGATATTAAAAAAACAGTTCCATTGATTAAAAAACACTATATCGGATTCATTTCAGTATCGGCAGATATCCAGATTTATGATATCGGTATCGGACATAAAAAAGTGGTATCGTGCCATCTCTAGTCATTAGCGAGACTCTGTAGAACTTGACTGAATGCTGAAGGTGGCAGGTGTGTTGCAGCAGGGACACATGGAAAAGTTTCAGGACAGCAGCCCTCGAGGACTGGATATGGGCTCAAAATGTGGTCATAAATATTTTGTACTTGTAAATCAGGATTTGTGTGCGTAAAAAAGATTTGTGTGGACTTAGCCAAAAAAAAAAGTATGAATTTTGACCCTATTTTTCTTCCTTTCATCTGATTGGTCAATGTCATGTCAATCACAAATGTAACAATCCAATCAGAGAACAGATGGGTTTGGCTGTCGAGGGGCGCTTTTTTTGAACTGCAGGTCTTTGAAGGGAATAAATGCCCTTTTACATGCCAACCCAGCGTTTTCCTTCATCACCACGAAGGAAAACAGTCTGTGGTCGTCCGAGTTTGGTGATTTTTGTGTCACAGGTCTACGTGTTTAATACAGGGACTTCCACAGCCTTTTCAACAGCGCTGCGGACCGCGGGGTGGGGGCGGGCAGTGTTTTGGAAATGACAGTCTTCATTACAAAGCTTTCTTCGTTATGAATTAGCATACATGTTTTTATTGAACATTTGAAGAACTAGCAAAAAAAACAAACTCTTGTAGAGGACATAAAGTCAGAGATAGAAAACGACAAGGAGCAGGTGCATCTAGTACAGGTAGAGCTGCTGCAAAAACCCACAGAGCCCAGCAGCCAGCGCAACAAATTCTGGATCCTTGGGTTTTAGTTAGCATTAGCAGCACATCCTGCGTCCCATGTGAAAGGACCTTTATGCTGCGCACTGTGACTCACAGCAATGGTCCCGGGTCAGCCCTGACTTTGTGTTAAACTAATCCTAAAGTAATAATGGTATTTCTAACCACTGATATACCACAACTTTATCCTTTCAACAGCTGCTGAAAGTTAGGGGACCTAGCTGCTATCGGATATTTATATAGCGATCCTCCAGCTTCAAACTGTATCACCCTTCAAGGACCTGCAGTTCAAAAAAGCGCCCCTCCGACAGCCAAACCCATCTGTTCTCTGATTGGATTGTTACATTTGTGATTGACATGACATTGACCAATCAGATGAAAGGAAGAAAAATAGGGTCAAAATTCGTACTTGTAACTTGCAGGGTTTTTTTTGGCTAAGTCCACACACAAATCTTTTTTACCAGCAAATCTTTTACAATTCACACATAAAATCTTTTTACAATATTACGACATAACTGGAGTTCAACACCTGTGATTTAGTGTGAGACAGGCAGAAAATCTCGGCTGAAAACTTTCTCTTTAACCTGCCGCTGTGACCACAGTTTTCACCCTACAGTGATCATTTTACCCTCAAGATGTAGCTACATGTGTCGTGTTTTCAACGAGTCCTTCCTCAAAGCCCAGAGATGTGTAACTTTTGAACTGGAGCCATTTGGTTCAGTCATCCTCTGCTCCCGTTTACTCCCTGTTTAATTTTTCCAACCAGTTTTGGAAAGAAAGAAAAAGACATCAGTTTTGAACTCGCTCTCCTGACCTCAGTTCAGCATAGAGCTATGTGCTGAATGTTACTGACAGTAAAAGAACACTGTGCCTCTTTGTTAGGTACACTTTTGTTCAGTCAACAAGCTATTTTGGTGCAGCGCTGCTCTCACAGACTGACAGAGAGAAAAGTGGGTCTTTTCTGATGTCCTGCCTCCCTCATTTGAGTTTCATTTGTGGATGGTTTCGTCTGTGTCTCACCATAGTGTGGCTCTCCATGTTTGTGGCACTCTCACAACTGACCCATCTGGTACATGCAAGTTTGAATTTTTACAATCCCACTGCAGTCTCTCCAGAAATGGCAAATTCTAGTTATTTTCCTCTTTAGTATGCAGGTGCTTAACTATATAAACCAAACCCACCGCTCGTGAGCTCATGTGAAGGCCACATAATGTTTGGAGGCCTTTGATTGGCTCTTGGACTTGTTGTATGGCTGGCGTTCTATCACAGTAATTCAGAAACCTCCCAGAGGTCACTATGGGGATGAGAATGACGAAGCTAAGATCCTGTGGGATTTTCAGATACAGACAAGCTCCTGATGGAAACCACTGGACAATGGTGATAAAGCAGAGGAACGTGCCTGTAGTGCGAGATGCAGCTAAGTACTAGGTACAGCAAAGATAGTGTGCAGAACGCTCACTAGCAAATGATTTAATTTGCTAAACATGTTACTTATGGACTTTTTGTTATTTAATATATCTTAATGCCCCAGTAAATAACTCGTAACTGCAATAATTCACCTTTATAGAATCGATTGTGTGACATTAATTAACATTCCTGATACGAAGTCATGAATTAATTTGCTAAATATGCACATGTCGAGGAGCGTGTCAGGTTACATTTCACTGTGTGTTATACTTGTATAACTATGCATGTGACAAATAAAGAACCTTGAACCAGGGAGCGAGATGCTAACGGGCAGGGCATACGTGGAACGCCAGGAGAACATGAGAAGCTCAAGGACTGAGAGGGGAGCTAAAGAGTCAAATGGATATGTACTTTAACTGATTATAAAGTCTGCAGTCTTGTTCCCGAGACAGTGTAACTGAAGTAATTTGAAGCGCCAAACTGTCAGAGACTACCAATATGCTTGTATGCTTTTGACAGATTGATTAATTCTATTTGCTTATTTAATGAGAATTTTCCTATTATATCATTCAGTTTTATATTTGACATCTGTTAAATAAACCACTTCATTCCATTGACTTTTGCAGTTAAAGAGGATTGAAGTAAATCTTTACCTGTAGGAATTGATGTGTCATCCACAGGCAGGTAGGACTGTGCAGTGATGGACACCTGATGGTCGTAGATATCTGCTACACCCTGGAGCACAGATAAGATTTTTCAGATCATCTGTCATCCTCTCCATACATATAGCCACGTTACTCATCTTGATGTGAGGAGGAAGGGGTTGATCTGTCTGAGACTCAACCAACACTCACTAATACCAGAACATCCTGCCAAAATAGGCCTGCCTCCTCCTTTAACAGTTTACGAAATAAAATTGTGAAAAACTGACTGAGAGTATCAGTGTTTGATATCACGAGTTTAAGTTAATTTAGGGCAGAATGCTATTTTAGATTTCTCATTGGAATCACCTTTAAATCCATATAGTATGTAACAGGAAATGATGTCATCAGTAAACAGGAAGCTAGATGGCAGGTTGGGTTGTATTAAAGACAGAGCTCATATGTTTTCATTGTTATATCTGTACATCGTGAAGAAGTAAAAGTGATGGTGCCTCATAGCAGATGTTGCAGTTTAACCTTTCCCCGTGTCGTTACTGTGGATATTGGACTTTTTAACCAACAGGACTCAGAAAGTTCGGGTCAACGACTCTCTTTCCGGTCTCCGTTCCACCTCCACTGTTCTCCTGTCACTGCTGTCAGGCACTCACAACACCACGGGCCCGCTGTGCAGGAGTTTGTAGGGTGGTGTGACGGCTCCAAACTCGAACTGAACGTGAGCAAAACCAAAGACATGGACTGGCTGCTTCAGTCACCACCACCATCCATGGGAAGCCAGTGGAGGTGGTTGAGGAGTACAAATACCTGGGAACCATCTTTGACAACCTCCTGAGATTCTCTGCTAACACAGAGGAGATTCTCAGGAGGTGCCACCAACAGCTACACCTCCTCAGGAAACTCAACTCCTTTGGAGTTAGCACAGCCATCATGATGACTTTTTCCTATGCCTTCCTGGAAAGCATCATGACCTTCTCCATCAGCTGCTGGTTCCCTCCCTCAGCCTTCATACAGGAACAGACTGCAGCACACTGCATCAGTGTGCTCTACAGTCATTGGCCTGTCAGAACTCTGGCTCAGGTTTTCAGCAACAGGCCCTCAGACAGGCAGCCTGATCATCAACGACCCCTCTCACATTCTTCACCCCGCATTTCAGTGGCTGCCCTCTGGGCGACGCTCCGCTGAGGAGCGCCACCTTTGTCCCCTTAAGCAGCTCTGCTTTCTAACTCCAATAAGACCATTTCCCACACCAGAAACATAAACTACTCTACACTCTTTTTATACTGCCCACACTTTATTCACTTACAGTTATTTATTCACCTTTCAGTCACTTTAATTTAACAGCTTTGTAATTTTAAAACTGTGTATATTCTGTGTATTTATTATCTCACTCTTATTGCCTGCTTATGCCCTGTCCTTAGCTTCAACGTCATGCTGCTCTGTTGTATCTTAACTGCCCCTTGGGGATAAATAAAGTCTCTGATTCTGATTGTGTTACTGTTGTTACACCTGTGGGCCAAGAATCAGAGTGTGGATGTGGGGAAGGATTTTAGAGGACTGCCCGTTCATAGCAGAGGCAACACACTGAAACCACACTTCCTAGTGGGCAAAATATTGTTTTGTTAGCCAGGAGACTAGCAGTGCCAACAACACAAACACCACTGTGCAGAGGCACCCAGAAACATGTCCATGTCGCTTACCTGTCCGGCCAGGTTGAAGTAGGAATGGTTGGTGAGGTTGATGGGGGTAGTTTTGTTAGCCTGTGCTTGGTATTCAACAGTTAGTTCTTCCCCCTGAGCAAACAAGTTCAAACTCAATATCTGTGCTGGCAAAACAAATGTCTGAGTATCACTAAACAGCAACGTCGAATTAGCTCTGCCAAAAGGAAATTTGGGATGCAGTAGTATGAATTCATAACCAGATGTGTCTACCTGCAGTGTGTAGGAGACAGAGACCTGAACTTCACCAGGATAACCCTGGTCTCCATCTGGACTGGTAAGAGTCAGCTGCACACCACCTTCCACTGCTGTAGCAAGCCAGATAGCCTGCAGAAGCAAACACACATGAATCGTGGAGTACACAGGATACATAAAGTGCAGCTTACAGAGCTCAGTAAAATTCAATCTACAGCTGCCAACAAGTAGGTGTTGTGAAGTGATGGGTGTATATTTCACTCTGTGAGACCAACCCTGCTGTTTTTGATGTGTGAGGGTTTTCCTGTGGCGTGGATTGCACATGTAAAAAAGGGCAGTGTGTCCAGTCTTCTTTTCAGCCATTCTTTCATTTGTTCAAATTACAGGTGGAGCCAGAAGGAACTCATCAACATGAAGAACAGAATCGGCAATGCCAAAAGCCTAAGAAGAGCTCTGTACAGTAGTTTAGTGTTAAAAGCCTGTGTCGGTCATTTTAGACTAAACCCAGAGAAGGAAGCCCCTTAAAAACAAAACTAGTTGAAGAATTATGGCAGGACTTCTTTGAGCAGTCTTGTAGGATTGGGGTCTAAAAGACATGAGAATTTGTGAAGAAGTTCATGAAGTCATTACTAGTTAACGTTAAAGGGATGGTTGGCTCAACAGAGCTCTGACTGTTTGTCAGCCTGGCTACAGAGCTGAAGAGAAACCTGGGGTTGTTCTTATTTTCTTCAATCAGTGATGAATAGTAAGATGTTCTGGCTTTGCGGAGGGCTTTCTTATAAAGCAGCAAACTATTTCTCCAAATGATGATGATCTTCTACATTTGTGACACGCCATTTCCTCTCCAGCCTACGAGTCATCTGCTTTAGGCTACATGTTTTACAATTATACCACAGAGTCAGGTACTTCTGATTTAAGGGTTTTTTCACAGGAGCTACAGTATCCAGAGTCGTACGGAGTAAAGCTTAAAATTATTAGCAGGATAATTGATGCCTGTGGGAGTCGTGTTCAGGTAGCTGCTCTGCACTGTGTGCACAAATTGTCACACATTACAAATAATGGTCAAACACTTAGCTGTGATTGGTGAAACATGTACACAGAGGGAAAACACATCATTTATACAGTTTTCCACAAATTTTGCTCCATGTTAAGATTGGAGCACAAACTAATATTAACCAGACCTCACCTTGTTGAAGCCTCGCAGGCCTCCATGCAGCGCATTTGGTCCATTGTTAAGATCCAGCTGGTACTCCTTTCCCTCAAGGACAAAACGTCCCTTTGCAATCCTGTTTGCCACACGGCCCACCACAGCGCCCAGGTACCGCTTATCTGATACATAACCTGACAACAAAGCATAATACTTCTTATTGATATATGGAAGCTGGATATTGTAGTGGTAAGACTACACACTTTTGGGGCGGGAGTCACAAGTTCGATTCCCACCCAGTACTGAAAATTCCTCAAGAACCTGATTCTGTACTGGACTCAGCCGTGAGAACTGGGGACCAGAATAAGGACCAGACTGGTGCACTCTTGCCTATTTCATGCAGACGTGTTAGCTGGATCTGTGATGAGAGGTGCAGCGATGTGCAGCATGCAATGTTGAAAAAAAACTGGAGTCCTCGAAATCAAGACAAGTGATGATGTTTCAGCTTTCGTATATTTATAGAGAAGACTTATAATGGCTGCTATTTTCTTTGTGAATCTTTGTTACATGGCAGTTTATTACAAGTACCATTAGTGTTAAAAGAGACAAAGGAAAAACTAAACACTTGACACACTGGAAAGTGCCAGTGAGACAGAGCTGCAGGCGTACTGCTAGTGACACAATAAGTATCAGGAATATAATGTGCACATTTTTAAAAACACTGCTGGGCGTTGTAAGAGGTTAAGATCAGTGAGCGCATCACCAATCCAATATATTAGTGACAATCATCTCTTTACTAAACAAATAATGGGTGTTTCCAGGGGTGGGAAAAGACACAGAAAGTCTACTGCATGAGCTTCACTTTAGCTGTCGCCTGATGTTCAGATTCATGTGAAGCAAAAAACAACCCACGATCACGTCTGCCTGCACTAGAGAACCTGAACAACAGACATCACTTTCAGGAGTTTGTGCTTAAATTAACCACTTTAATCATCTCATTGCTTTTTATACAATTAAACCAGTTTATGTGCAGATAACAACACAAGTTACTTTCCCTCCTACCTTCCAGGTTATCATAGCCAAGGACTACATCCTCCATTTGTCCATCCTTCCCTCTGTAGCTCACTGATCTGACAATGGCACCTAAGGTTAGGACTTCCACCTTCACCTGAGGAGACTGGACAACCCACAGGTCCACGGTGCCCTGGCCAGGCCACTCTCCCCATGGATGATGGCTTACCTGAGTCATCTTGGAACGAGCACAGGAACAGAACATAATGGTTAAAATGTTACTTCACATTTAACTCAAATAAGTTTGGTCAGCTCTTACATTCCCACAGGTTCAATATATCTTGTTCTAGCTCACAGTAGAGTCAGCAGTTTGTACAGAGGCTACGAACATCTGTGTGAAGCCTATTAATGCTCACTGGACTGTGCACAAAAGAGTCAAAATACCAGCTTACAGTATTCCCACGTGTCTCTTACATACACACCAACACAGATAGTAAAACCGCTGTTGTGCCAAAAAGTGACTGTCTGCAAAAAACTGATTTCCGGTATTTACCAAAAACTGATTGTTCGTATTTAAAGTGCTATAAGTAACGTGTTGGGCTATAATATGTGAAACATATGTCAACTGCGTCCCTCATGGATGACATAAAGTCTGGAGCCACAACAACATTCGTGTAACAGTAACAGCAGTGACTTTTATATAACCTTTATTTCAGCAGTAAAAAAAACAAATCTCATTAACATTAACAATGTCTTTTGTAAGAGCAGCGCTGGCAGCAAATATTACGATAGTTCTGTAAAAGTATTTGAAGTGGGGATAAAGGAGCGGATTGGTTATAAAGTACAATAACACAGAGTTGTAAAGACACTTCACAAACAGATCATTTTTAATTCTACATATTACCCCTTTGTAAACGCTGTTCACCGAAGTCTATTTACCAACATACGTAATGATATTACACATGGAAAATACACGGAAACATTGGAAATCAGTTTTTGGCAGACAATCGCGTTCTGGCACAACAAGTTTGCTCAGTTAAGCGTATACAGGATATGACGCTCAACCTCTCTTTACAGTCAGCAGTTATTCAGCACGACACGCTCCGAGCAGCGACCAGCAGCAGTACACCCGCGCGTTCTTACCTTGAATACTTCACGCACTCATTACTAGACTTTGGACCTGGTCGTGTTTTCCTGCTTCCGTTACTGATGACGCAGACGCGCAATGGGTGACGTCAAAGCTACTGGGCACGCCCACGTGGCGGGCAAAAACGATGTTTTTTAGTATAATATAGATTTTTTTTAACGCGTGCACGTAAACAGTCGCTCATCAATGGTGTGTATATAACAGAAGAAGTATTACTGAGAAGACTGAAAAGCTAGTCACTGTGTCGACTTTACTCACAAACTGCCTGTAATATCAGTTCCAGCTGTTTGTTAATAACACAGCTGATGCCCACAAAATGTAAGAAAAAAACAGGACTAACGTAGCAAAGCGCTGTATTTATGTGCTAAAACCCAAATGATGGCATGATGCTAATTAAAAAAATGGAATAATTTTTCCACAGAGGAATTTTTCAGCACTGACTTTTTACATTTATATATTGTTTAGTTTGTTTTAAATATTCAGGTTAAAAATAAGCTTTAATGAGGTATTTTTCAAAAAGTTACTTATTGATGATAATGTTAGTCTTTATTGATTTCATTATCATCTGCTTATGCACACATGTTGATGACTGAAAACATCTCCACCAGTTTACTCCTTGACACCTTTAAAGGTAAGAAAAATATGTATAATTGTAGCTATATTTCAATTAACCTCAGCACTCTGGAGGACGCAAAGAAGACCCGGACAGTTTACAGTGGTGTAATGACGAGCACGTCGAGCACATGGGGAAACCAAACAAGGTGCCGTGTCTGTGAAGTTTCTCAGTCATCCAGGTCATCATAGTTTAAGGAGCTTTAAGGAGCTGGACTTCTTTAAGTTGCTTGAAGACGTTTCACCTCTCATCCGAGAAGCTTCTTGAGTTCTAAGGGTCAAATGGTGGAGAGTCCCAGATTTAAACCCAGTGGGAGTATCCCCACCCCTGATGATCCTCTACCTAATCACATGAGCCAAGGAGTGAAAACGGGTGGCTCTGAGTCAGAATTCTCACATTGAAGGCAGAATTCTGAGGTTAAAGCCAGAATTCAGAGAAAATAGTCAGAACTATGAATAAAAAGTCAGAATTCTGACATTGAAGGCAGAATTCTGAGGTTAAAGCCAGTCCATTTTGTTCCACTTGGGTGGGGTGGGGGCTGGAGTCTATCCCGGCAGTCACAGAGCAAAAGGCACGGTCAATTTCTCACATTAAATTATCCAATAACATTTGAATAATAACAGTACTTTCTGAGAATTGTAATGTAAATACTATTTATTTAACATAAAATATCCACAAAAATACACATCTCATGGAAATTAAAGCTGCACAACAGTTTTTTGTAGAGAGTTTTTCCCCTTTAAAAAAATGCTGTTAAATCCAGAACTGAATTTAAAATCTTTCTCCTCAGTTACAAAGTCTTGAATAATCAGGCTCCCATCTTATCTTAAAAACCTCATAGTGCCATCACCCAAACAGAGCACAACAGAGCACGTCTGCTCTGTTCGGGGTGAGTGTGGCTCTAGTGGTAGCATGGTATATCTGCTAGTTGAAAGGTCAGTGGTTCAATCCCTGGCTGCTTCAGTCTGCGTTCAAAAGTGTCCTTGGGCAGAATGCTGAAGTCGCTCACCAATATGTTAGACAGAAAGAACTTGTACACATAAATGTGTTGGTATCGATGGGTGAATAAGGCATGTTTGTAGTGTTGAGTGCTCAGGCAGAGTAGAAAAGCACTATATATTAAAATTTACACCACTTTCATCATTAGTTCTTATTAACCTCTGGCTCTCTTCCACAATGTGTCTTCGTCCCCTCACCAGTCATGGCAGAGGGTTCCCTCCCCCTGAGCCTAATTCTGCCAGAGGTTTCTTCCTGTTAAAAGGCAGTTTTTTCTTCCTACTGTTGCCAAGTGCTTGCTCATAGATGGTCATCTGATTGTTGGGGTTTTTCCGCATTATTGTAGGGTCTTTATGTTATAATATAAAGTCCCTTAAGTCAGTACAGTTTAGGCTGGCTGTGGCTCAAGAGTTAGTGCATATCATTTACTATTGGAAAGCTGAAGGCTTGATCCCTGGCTTCTCCAGTCTGTATTTTGTGTCCTTGGGTTGGAGGGTTGTCGAACTCCAGGCCTCGAGGGCCGGTGTCCTGCAGGTTTTAGATCTCACCCTGGGTCACCACACCTGAATCAAATGATTAGGTCATTACCAGCCTCTGGAGAACTTCAAGACATGTTGAGGAGGTCATTTAGCCATTTAAATCAGCTGTGTTGGATCAAGGACACATCTAAAACCTGCAGGACACCGGCCCTCGCGGCCTGCAGTTTGACGCCTGTGGGTTAGATAATGAACCCTCAGTTTCTCAGGATGCAACCATTGGAATGTGAAGCGCCTTGAGTCAGCTGTTGCTGTGACTTGGTGCTTTATAAATAAAATTGAATTGAATGTTGGAATGTCAGAAAACGTGCTTAGCCATAGATGAAAGCAGCATATGTGCCAGCATATCTGCCAGCAGAGCTTCAGCTGTATGTTCAGTGTGTATCATGCTCTGGCTGGCCTCTTCAGAAACACAGGTCATTTCACACCAGCCAAAGAGTTGTTTCTGTTCAGTTTCTGATATTTTCTTAGATTTCAGATTTTGTTGTGTGTTGTTGTTGTTTTGCCTAAAACCCATAACATGACTGAAAAAAATGACACCGTAGAAACAAAATAGAGGAAGACACTGTATAACTTTATTGTTTTCACTCTAGAACAAAGCTTCTAAAAGGCCAAAAAAATGCCCTCCCTATAAATACAGATCTGTTCACGCATGTTGAGTGATTTGTAGTTACATCCAGAACATACTTTCACACAAATATTACATTAAACATCACAGCAAAAGTGTGCTTCACGCCCATCAGCACATTATTCACTTTATGTTGTACAGAACACACATGCTAGCCACTCCCCAAAATGATCCAGCTACAGATGCACACTGAAAAAGTGTTGCTACTACATAAGAATGATTTAGTTTATATACAAATGTTAAAAAGTGCAGTGTATTGAATATCTTCTTCACATTGTGCTTCCTTTAAAATGGATTGTAGGTATGGATATTGCTGTTATGCTCGAGCCCCATTAGTCTGTTGAGTAATCTGTAAAATTCAAAACATGGATGAGAGTAAATTCATTTAGACAGCGCCAAATCACAACAACAGTCGCCTCAAGGTACTTTATATTGTAAGGTAGACCCTACAAGAATGCAGAACAGTGACTTTGTCCAACAGGCAGTTCATTTGTTGTGTATTTTTTTTATTCTACAAATGCATCCATTTGAAATAAAATGATTTGGATCTTTTATTTAACTATATATAAATGTTTCTGTAACACTGAGCGGTATTAGCATGAGCTGTGTTGCTGATCGGGCGTTCCCATCGTGCTCTGGGAAAGTCTTTATGCTACCTTTTTCTATTCTAATTTTTCTAGTTACAAAAACATGACATGACCACTAGGAAGTCTTCAATCGTAGAGCTTTTCTATAAGTCAGACAACACGACTGCAATCCTAAATATGTTAAGTGCTTCGGCCAGCACTGTGACATAACACAAACAAAATCCAAAGAAAAACCAACATCAAATGTCCTGGTATAGTTTTGCCATGGTCATCAAAGACCACGAGGACCGGGAAGTGGACAGGGAGGAGCGCTGGTTTGAGCGAGGAATCAAGGAGGACATTTGTGTGAAAAGGGAAAGACCATCAAGGGTACATGTGTCCCTATAAGGAGCTTGGAAAGAAAAGCATCTGGACTTCATCTTCAAGAAACTTAAAGAAGTCCAGACGTTTTTCTTCCCAAGCGCCCTAGACTACGATAACCTGGATGACCTGAGAACCTTCACAGACATCTGTCACCATCTTACAATGCTGTGATTGCAGACATTCCCCAACTCTCTGTGAATGGTGGTCGTCGATGAGTGGTTGTTGATCAATGATCGAGAAACTGACCTCACAGCCCATCGTTCATCAGTGGTACTGGTTTCAGTCATTACACAAATGTTACTGTTTATTTTTATTGGGGAAACCTGCAGTCAGCCGAGACTGAAGACGTCACCTGGATGAGTTTCTCCGACTAACAAAAAGTGCTACGTCCAGAGGAACACAGTCAACTATCCTTACTTCGATGATTGCGCATGCATCAAGACATGTTCATCTGGGTCTTTAACTTACGATGTAAAGCGCCTTGAGGCAACTCTCAGTTGGTGCTGTATAAATAAAACTATTGAGAAGATAAATGTGATCTTTCAGAAACACACACACCTCATAGCCAGAGGCTGTTCTCAGGCTCTTCCTTTGTTGCTGTTATTTGTATGTTCATCCTTCACATCTGTTGCAGTTCTTATTGGAAGAGTAAATGCCATAAAGCAAGTTTTAATGTTTGAGTCCACTCATCAGAATATCACTGGTGATTTACAGACAGCCTGGTTTGATAGTAGCTGACAGGCTTATTATAAAACGTAGACTGTGTCATCTTCAACAGGTGCAACCTATCAGAAAATAAATAGAAACATCACCTCACCTGCCACAATACAGACAAACCAGAGCATTGCACATTCACTTGTACATCACAATCTTATCCAGTAGGTCGTTTTGTTACTGGAGTAATTAAAATAAAACTACTTTAGGTCAAACGATATTGCTTCAGAATCATCACACTTCATATCACCGTGATATCGTCAAAGTTTCTTTTAATCAGTGATCCAAACACGTCACTTCTTCACCTTTGGGATATTGAGAAAAAGGTCCGTTTGTTTGGTGAACTATTGTGGCTGCATATTCAATAACATCCGATCCATCCATTTTCTAATGCTTATCCAATTTAGGGCCGTGGTGGGTGAGAGCTTATCCCACATATGTTGAGAAGCGGGGTACACCCTGAACAGGTCACCAGTCACACAGAGACAGACAACTACGCACATGACCGATGGCCACATTAGAAGTGGCAGTTATCTAACAGCAGGGTTCTCTCTCCATACTTTGCAAAGCTGGCTGGTCAACCTGTTGAGGAATTACCATTCCCTGTTCACAAGCTGCTAGAGCCCAGCAAAGGTTTTCTTGGCTTTCTCACTGAAACGTTTACCTGACTAATATTTTCATTCTTGGTGATTTTATGATTGTTCCCCTTTAGTATCGGCTCACCAGCACGTGCGTCGGTCATACAAGCTGAGACACTTCATTTGGTTCTTTTACTTGTCAAATCTGTGTGTACATGCAACGCTGAGGATGCTACTTTCTCTCACCACATGCCAGCCTTTTAAAATCAATGTTGCTGAAGTAAGAGTCGTGACCATGCTGCACTCTCGTTTGTGATCAGCTGGCTTGGCCCATTTGCAGAATATGTGCTGAAGTGTGAGGCTCTCTCTCTACATTGGTTTAACGCTGTCTGCACTGCTGTCCTTTGAGGTCATACCGCCTTAAATGAAGGGCACTCAGTGCAGGAGAGCTTGCAGTGTCTTATGAAATTTTAACAAATATCAGGAGGCTGTCAAGGCCTCAATAGCACAAATACTCACTGGTGCATTTCCTCAGTCTGAGCATGTTCCCGCCCTAACCAGCACTGTCGGCAGCTCTTCATCTTTTTCTTGTAATTAGAACATTAATTTTGAGAATTATAAATGCTTGGTTTGTGTTCACCCAAACACATTCCTCTTCTCATCAGCTTTCTCGGCTTCAGACTAGTTCCAGTTTGTCCCATTTTCCCCAGTGCATTTAATATGATCATTTCTACATTATTACTTATCTCTACGTCAGGCTGGGGACCTGTCCAGAGTGCCCCCCCCCCCGAGTATTTCAATTGTTCTTAAATTATTGGTACCGTTTACTGACATCCTACTTCCTGTGCAGCACTTGGATTAGATTACAAGCCTGGAATCGCAACGCAGAAAGAGCTTCCACTGCACCACTGTGGTGCTCGCATTCAGTGATATTCAATAACACTTTATATAACATTAACATATATTATAATAAAATCTTTGCCAATGACCGGGTACTGGAGTTACAGATATTAGCACTGAGGTTTTATTCGTAACTTTTGTGTGCCCTCCACACCTGTGCACATGCGCCTCCATCAGGTGGCTCTCAGTAAATTTCTCCATCCACCCACTTTGGTCCAGAATACTGTAAAACTCGGTGCACCTAACATGTGTTCTCCAGTTAACTTCACCTGCCCTCTTACCCTTTCTTTTTGCTATCTTTGTGAAATGTCTACGATGTTGCTAGTCATGGTACATGACTGCCTGAGACTGGATACTTTTTCTGTGGCTATTCATTCAGTCGTTACCTTTGAGCCCCACATACATACTCATTGCAGACCATCTGATTCATAAATGTCTCATTACTACTCACAGGAAAACCTAAATAAATGAGCTTAGATGATGTCTGAATTGTGCAGTGTAAAGATAATGTTGAGCAAATCAAACACGTAACTCAAATACTCCTATAATCTGTTGCCTGCCACACATGCACACACCGGGACTAAAAAGGGCCCTTCATTTTTACAGAACAGGTGACAAGAAGCCAGTTCAATACTTTGCAATATTTGTGCAGTAAAATATCTGTCGTTTAAGTATGCCACTGAATAAGCTCGATGAATCCATACAGCTGATGGGTCCCCTGTTGCTGCAGGTTTAGCTGGTGTCACCCAGGAGGGTCAGTATGGAGCTGGCCTGTGAGGCAAGTTTACTGCTGCTATGATCTGTGAGTTTACTGATGCTTTCCTTCATATTCACAGAGTTCAACGCCTCCTTCATGACACCTAGAGCACACAAGAACAGAAAGAAAAGAGAAAAGTAAGAGGTTGATTGAAACAGATGCAGATGCACTGTAGCATATTCTCTGATCATCATTGGGTGTACAGTAGACTTTGTGTTCTTTAGAGCTTGGTTTGAATACATTACACACCTGAGTCATTCTACACCAGGAGAATCTGTGACACGCTCAAACCTGGCTCCCTAAGAATCAGCCATTTTTCTACAATAATGCTGCCGTTCTATGAAAAAGTCTCTGAAATAGCTGAGGATGCATGAAAATTCTGCTTTTTAAATTCTCTTTATTTTTTCTACCATTTAAGTACACGAGGTAGCTACACAAACATTTCAGGGCTGAGAAACACATTTAGGCTGTGCAACCAAAACAACTTTGCACCAAATTGGCATCAATGTAAACACACTACTACTACTGGAAATTCAGAAAACCGAATATCTAAGAACCATTTTGAATGGCCTTCGTGTCCTGTTACTATTAACATCGCTATCTGAAACACAGAGCTGAGTGACACTTGTGACGTTGTCATGGTCCCCGGGGTTGAAGGTTTTGTCTTCATTAGGACTTCATGGTCTATTTTCTAGTCTTGTTATTTAAGTCTTCTGTTAAATTAATCACGACTTTGTGTTTATAATTACTTTCTCTTTGTCTTCAACTACATTTCCTCTCTGGTTACACTGTCTCAGTCTCCCCTTGTCCATTGTTGTCCCACATAGCTTTGTATCTCCTAGCTCTGGTTTCCTGTGCTTCCTGGGTGAATGCTGCTCAGTGTCTCCTGAGCAGCGGTTGATCAGTAACACAAGTAACGTGTTACTGTAATCCAATTACTTTTTTCACGTAATGAGTTAAGTAAAGAATCAGTATTGTAAAAAAGTAATTATATTCCTGTTACTTTCTCGTAAGCACGCTGCGTTACTAAACCGTGATTTTGTTTGTGAGAGCGTCTCATGACAATGGCGAGCGTGCGGCGTCTGTGGCAGCAACAGACATGTGCAGATCAACAATGGACAACATGGAGTGATGGAGAGAGTACGACCGTGCACTCTGCGTGAAAAATTAAACTTCAAATTTGAGCGAGCAGCACCCGCCGCGCTCCTGCTAAACAGCTGAACATAGATTTAAGAGCAACAGGACTCAGTGCTGCTGAATCTTGGATTTTATTTTTTTCTTAGGGCCTCCATATTTCATACTTCCTGTAACCTGCCTGTGGTGATTTAATCTCTGTGACACTGAGCTGTAAGCTAAAAGGTGCACACGAGGTTTGCTTGCTGCATTTTTGTGGCTCCTTTGACACTGACATCACAGCTTTATCATTCTACATCCACTGGACAGAATTACTGCAATTTCTATGTGTTGCTTTAAAATCAGACACATACTGGAGTTAGCCAGGCTGCAAATGAGACCTAAAGCACTGAACTTGACCTCGACCGCTCCCACAGGATCCTCCAACATCTTCTTCAGCATGGGTAACAGGTCTGCCTCCCCAAATGGATCCTTCATAGACTCTGCATTGTTTACAGACATGCAAAAATAGGTAAACATATATTCTCTGATGGACATCATCTCTGTTCAGTATTGACATCAAACATCTTGTGTTTTGCTAAATTGCAACAGGTCATTATTGTGTTGTATTGTGTGCTGATCTGTGGAACCAGCGCTCAGTGGCACCTCTCTCTCTCTAAGGGGGAGCCAGGATCCCTCCCGGGCTTCTAGACTTCTGATTGGCCAACATTTCACACAGTCAGGATCTGGCATGAGCGTTTGACTTTGGTTTTAGCGTTTACACGTGGATGGAGATGTTTTTTCAAAACTGCACGTGTGGACAGGATTTAAAAAAATTTAACAAAAACTGAAAATCTCCAATTTCAGAAATAGCCCCGTGTACGTGGCCTAAGCTGAGTTGGTTGAGCGTGACTAATAACTGCATCATAAGGAGATAGTTAACATGGAGAGGAGTCTTTTTCCACTTACATTCAGATTTTCTCTTTGGTGGCGGATATGATCACTGATCCAGCGGGAAGAATTTGTAACTTGGACTAATCTGAATTTTAACATGATGCAGAATTGGTGAGCATACATTATTCAACCAATTCATTAAGTCACTGATATCTGAAAAGGTAGTTGTTGATGCAGTAAGGTCAGAGAGCAGAAAACGGAGCTGCTGAGTGCTCATTAAAGATGCAAGGTGTAATCGTTTTTCTCTGGGAAGACAACACTGGACACACAACGGTGTCAAACATTATGCATTTGTGATCAGACGTGTACAAAGTGTTTATAGAGAAGCCAAAAGTAAAACCTGTGTCCAGTGTGTGGCCACCACATGTTGCACTAAATTAAACACCTTTGCAATGTTAAGAAATTCTGTGGTAGTGCAGTTAGAGGCACCGTGAATATGTAAAGTCAGCTACCAAGATGCTTTTATCAAAATGAACAATAACAGATAAAAGTAGAATTCATTTAAGAAATGATTGCAGGATTTGGGAGTTGATAGATTACAATATACAACAAACTGTTTAAATAGTTCCGGGCGTTTAAGGAATGATGTGAAATTGTCCACATAGGCAATGTTTTCATTCCTGCAGCACCCTTGAACCAAATGTGCAGGTGGTCAACAGCTGAAGAGCAGTCAGAGTAATATCCTTCACACAGGCCCCAGGAGAGCAAACGGTACAGCCACCGAGCATCGCCAAGTGTTGAACCATAGACGTGGGTAGACTCGGCCTTGAGGAGGTGGTCGATGATGAGCAGGGGCATGACCGCATGTGAGCGCCAAGATGCAGCTGTGGCAGCAGCGACAATAGTAGTAGTACCTGGCAGAGAAAAACGGCCTGCGTGGCAGGTCTGTGGCACCACTGCAGGGAGGCTGACACACTGGAGCTGCAGCAGCTCGTCACGCCTCCTCTGCATTCAAGTCTGTACTGGGTAGTTGTTGTTGTGTATGTGTGGCTGGCAGCTGAAAAGCTGCAGCCGAGTGCAAAAGAAACAACAACTGAGAATAAAGAACACTGTTTAAAAGTGTAGTGGTCAGGTCCGCCATGCGTCTGCTACAGCCTGGAGGAGAGAGATGGCTAGGCGTCTGTGCTGGAGCCAGGCAGCCTGGTGGAGTGTTGAAGTGGCGAGAAAGTCCGGGGGTGACCCAGCTGCGACAGCCAATCCAGTGCTGAGCAGGCCATGAGAAGGAGGAGCATGTTGAGGAGTGAAATTGGACCAGCATCCCTGTTGGGCAGCCATCCCATCTTCATTGTCCAAACGGTCCCCATTATCGTTGGGCTGAGCGAGGGGCATCCAGTAGCCACGGATGCTAAAGCATCATCCTGCTCTGGAGCAGACGGCCCCACAGAAGACTGAGTATGGTGGGAGACCACAGACAGCCGAGGCTTGAGGACAGAAAAAACTGACAGACAGGCTAAAAACAAAGTCAGCCTTGGTAGAAGACAAACCAAGTCAGGAGCCTTCATGGTGTGTTGATTAGCAGTGGTTGCACCGTTAACCTTGTAAAGGATGTCAAGCAGAAATTACAGTTTCAACAGCAAAAAACTTTAGAAGCCAGCAAAATATGGTTTGAAAAACAGCACAGAGGCACTAATCATAGCAGCACAGGAACAAGCCCTGAGCACTAGATCCATAGAGGCTGGGGTCTATCACACCAGGCAAGACCCCAGTGTAAAGGTGCCCCTGTGACAATCCAGCACATAACAGCAGGGTGCAAGATGCTAGCAGGCAGGGCATACATGGAACGCCATAACCATAGTGTACAGAAACATCTGTGCTGAATATGGCCTGGAGATCCTCAGGTCACAATGGGAGACGCCCCCTGGTTTTGAATACCAAGCTAAGATACTGTGGGATGTCCAGGTACAGACGGACAAACCGGTGATGGCTGACCAAACAGACTTATTAGTGGGGGAGAGGCGGAGGAAGATGGGTACAGCACGTCAGGAAAAAGGAACACAAGAAGCTGGAGAAACACCAAGGGCTGACAGAGGGGCTGGAGAAGATGTGGAGGGTGAAGGTAACTGTGGTTCCTGCACTCAGGTCAGTGACCGCCAAACTGGGTGAGTGGCTCCAACAAATCCCAAGAATGAGTTCCGAGACCCTGTCCAGAGAAATCCTCAGTCCTGGGAATCTGGTGGAGGACCTGTGTGCGTGTAACATACAACCTGCTGGTTATGGTACAATATTTTTAAATCCCGGGTGGGTGTGCATGGGCTGGTAGTGTTTTGACGTTTCAATCATGAGGTCATTCTATGTACAACACGTGAGCCCAAACTACTGTGATACTCTACACGTCACTCACTTCCACAGACACCAAATTACAACGTGTTGTGAACACTAACAGACAGTGTTGGGGAGTAACGGAATACATGTACCGCCATTACGTATTTAAAATACAAAATATGAGTAACTGTATTCCGTTACAGTTACCGTTTAAAAAGGTGGTATTCAGAATACAGTTACTTTGTTGAAATAAATGGATTCCACGGCGGTCTTTTCCTGTTTCAGGACTGTTTGGGTTTTGTTTGTTCTGTTGCTCCAGGCGGCCGCGTTACGGTTGCCATGGTTACAGGGTGACACGCGCGCTCTCTGTGTGTTTCCTGGGTGAGAGAGCGCCTTTTTGTTGTTGTGCTAAGCTAACAGGCAGAATGCTACAGGCATCGCCCTAAAGCATGCAGCCTGATGGGCAGTGTAGTCCGTGCTGCAGGCAGAATGGACCGCCATACCGTTATGTGTCTGTGAGCGAGGAGGGAGAAAAAGGTACGAGCTGTCACCGAGCAGAAATGGGAGCTGGAAGCATGTAAATATAATAATAACCACTGCAGCCAAGAAGAGAGCCTGACGAGCCCAGCTGTAAGCTGTTAAGACTCGACTGTACACCGTGTTCCTGTTTTCCTCTGAAACAATAAGCTCCGTTGCAGCAGCTTTTCAACGCCTCTCTCCGTCTCAAACTTGACCCAGACAACAAAGTAAAGCTAGTTTTCAGCTACGAGCCCGACACGAGCCCGACACGAACCCGACGTATTAGCCAGCCATTAGCCTTTACTACAGTTCGGAGTCGCGGACCTTCAGTAACAGTAATAAATCACAGCAATCGTACATTCACGTTGTTGTAAACAGCATGATAATATATTAAGTAATCCAAAGTATTCAGAATACGTTACTCTCATTGAGTAACGTAACGGAATACGTTACAGAATACATTTTGGGGCATGTATTCTGTATTCTGTAATCTGTAATGGAATACATTTTAAAAGTAACCTTCCCAACACTGCTAATGGAGTGCCAGGCTCTTCCTTTGATACACCAAATAATTCAAAGTCACTTCCAGACGAGACCAAACTAGTGTCTGATAGTTTGTACTTTTTAACCAAAGCCAGTGTTGGGAACGTTCCCAAATATATTCCAGAGTAATTGCTCATTCCTACCTGGAGAACCCTTCGTAGTAACACTTTGGATCCTTCTAGGATTTAGAAGCGCTGCAGAGCTTCTTGGGCCATCAGAAATCTCAGGCCCAACTTGAGAGATCTCACTAGAACTACACTCTGACATGTCTGATAAATTCAGCCGAAGAACTTGAAATTGCTTTACCAATGTCAATGGCACTTGCAATTGCCAGGGCAACCAGGGCTTCATTCTGCATGATGACATGTTCACTTGATGCCATAGAAATAAGATGCCGAATTCCATTGGCTCTGGCTACCTCACGGACAACTTCCTGTTAAAGAGAGAAAATCAGCCGATCATAAGATAATAAGTGAACATCCAACAAAGCGAGTTTGATAACCAACACAAACAAATTAGAACTTAAGCAGAGAAACATTCCCAGTAGAAGAATCTGACTCACAGAGTTCTGACTATGTCTGATGAGAGCAGCCAGCAGGCGACTGGCTTCTCCTCTGACTCCTGCATGATCCTTGGCTTCGCACCACTCCATGATCCGATCGAGTAGGTCAGCGTCTCTCCCCAGCACTAACGCAGCTTCCTCTGACACACAGTGCAGCAGAGGGTAGAAGACGTTTGTTTTGACAACGGTTAATAAAGACTGCCAGCTGTACATGGGGGGGAAAGATGTACTGTGTATTACATTAATCGGAGTGAAGCATGAACTTTTGGTGGGTCTCCTCATGTGAAATGTAATTTTGATCCTCGCACAACATTTCTGTTAAATTAACGTCAGGTGTTTGACTTGGCGAGGTGCTTTTCCTTTGTTGTTCAGCGTTGTGTTGACGATGGCCTCGTTCATACCTTCAAATTTTCGGCCTGCATGGAGGTTTCCATACTTTCATTTCATATTTTCATTTAATTTCGTTAAACGGGCTTTCTGTTTCAGACGTGTGAAAATCTGGTAACGACTACAGAATGTGTCCCATACAGAAACCCAGAGCACTCATTATCCCAATCCCCTTCAGACCTTACACCACATGGACAGGTGTTTCACTGGATCTGCTGATACATTAGCCCCATAGTTTATTTTTGCAGGAAAGCAGTGTGTTTGTATGCTGTTTGGTGCCCAACGGTCAATGAGAGGTCTTCTACCAAAGGGAAGAATCAAAGTTATCACATGTCATCAAAACTAAACAATTGTTGCTTCCAAACTGAAGCATTTTAAGCATTTTGCTCACCGTGTCCGTCCACCATCATACGCAGAGTGCCCAGCAGTTTGAACTGAACTGGGGGCATGTCCGAGCGCAGCAGCGTCTTTATTCTGTCAGTCACCCCGTCCTCCAGCATTCGCACTTTGTTGGTGGCTGGGAACACACACGTCATATTATCGACTTTCTCAGCGTTTCACTTTTACTTTATCAATTCACATTGATTTTAAGGACAAAACACATTCAGGATCATTTTAGGTTATGAAATGTACTTGAACTTGTTTCTTTTGATTGCTTAGGCAGTGGAAGCCTGTACCAGGAATGGCAAGGTTTCTGAGTGCGCTTAGTCCAGCATGTTGAACAGATACGTCTCCTTCATCTACGTGCTGCTCCAACAATGTCAGGATGTGAGGAACCACTCCGAGGTCCAGCATCTTCACACAGTTACTGTCTGACAGAAAAACAACAGTCCTCAAAACCCAACTACTTAAAAACAAACAAACATTAACATGAAGGTCATTTGGGGCTTTTCTCTCTACTGTGTAAAGCAAGAATTGGTGCACAAGTTTTAATTTTGTTATTATTTTCTCTAATTCACACAAAATCTAAATTATACACACAGTCTCAAATACATGACTCGTGCAGTAGAATAACTGACTAACTGCTAGTTTGTCTGTGCCAGCAGGACTTGTGTTAGGTTTAATGTATGTGTTGTAGGTTGCCATTTAGAAAGCTAGAATGCTTCTGTTTGCTATCGAGGTAACCCACGCACATGACTACGTGCACGACATTGATAAGGGCAACAAGCAGCCTTGAGAAGAACAGATTCTACCAACCACAACCTGGCAGAGCTGCACTCCCATCATATAACCACACATTGTATAACCATGCTTGCACAGCACAATCACACTTTGTAACCAGTTAGTAATACAGCAACATGCTTTATGTGCATTCATGTGTGTAACCAATAAAAACAACTTGAAGGGGGAAAGCAAGTTGAAGTGGGTTGGAGACAACTGCTTCCCCCTCGCGAGTGAAAACCTGAGCTCTGTGTGACCTCGTCCCTGAGTGAGCTGTTTATCCAGCAGTGTGAGGGGTAAAACTCTGACAACTTGTGTGACAGTACTCACTGGGCAGACCAATACACAAGCTACTGGACCAGAGTGAAGATCTATGAAGAACTGCAGATTTACACAACCTGGGAAGTTCTCTTGGGGCCATTTCTGTACAACTACAGATTTCTGAATCACCACTTCAAACAATTTATTCTGATATGTCCCCACTTTGTCCATGTCTGAGACCCACACTGTCCACAATGATGCAATTTTTACATTGTCTGGGGGGGAGGCTGACAAAGAAAGAAACCCAACCACAACCGACATCTTCAACCGTGACTGAAAGTTGCTGCTGCCCTCATGGATGAGCCAAATGCCTTCTGGAGAAAAGGTTTATGGTCAGAAGACACAAAGATTGAGCTAAAATGTTAAGAGGCATGTTTGGAGGAGTAACGGCGAGCCTTTCAAACTGGATGTGGGCCTGAAAAAGACTGAAGTCTATCTTATCTCTCATCACATCTGAGAGTGGGTAAAAAAGTAAGAACTATTTGTATTAATGTGGATTTAATACTCGGATTTTTACCTTTATGGTTTCACAAAGGGTTAAAAAGAGGATGCACAAAATTAATATCCATCCATCCATCTTCATCCGCTTATCCGAGGTCGGGTCGCGGGGGTAGCAGCCTAAGCAAAGAGGTCCAGACCTCCCTCTCCCCAGCCACCTCCTCCAGCTTGTCCGGGGGAATACCA